CGATGTAACTGTACATGTGTTGTAATGTAATGTATGATAATGCAATGTAACGGAAAATAACGCAATGTAATGTAAGATAATGTAGTGTATTTCTCTATATATGTTCTGCATGCGTGCATTCATGTATGCATGTATGCATGTATGCATGCATGCATGCGTTTGTTTATGTGTGTGTGTGTCTAAGCTGCATCCCTCTTCGGTGTCTCGTGGATCAGCGGCCCTTCTTGGGTGTCAGCCCGGTGTCGCTGTCGGGTACCACAGCCTCCGTCTTCGGACGCTGTCCATCCATAGTGGTCCCGCGTGCAAGGGCCCGGCCGCGCGCGGGGACGGGAGGGGAATGGGGCAAGGAGGGTGAGGACGATGATGTTGAGGAGGACGAAGACGAGGAGGAGGACGAGGACGCGGATGGTGAGGGAAGGGAGGGGGAGGACGAAGAAGGGGGCGTGAAGGGGTAATGATCGGATTGTTGATGGTTCGGATGATGATGACGGTGGTGGTGGTGGTGATGATGATGATGATGATGATGATGATGATGTTGATGTTGATGATGATGATGATGATGATGATGATGATGATGATGATGATGGTGGTGGTGGTGGCGGTGGCAGCTTTGATTCTGATAAGGCTCATGATTCAGGCATTGTTTTTTGGCGGTGACTTGATTATGATGCCGAAGACGGCGATTTATTTTGGTGTGGAATTGCGGATTATGGAGCTGACGTTGAGTGGGAAACAGTCGTGCTCACAACGCTGAGTATGTTGATGAGGATGACGTCGATGATGCAAGTGACGATGACGATTTCCATCACGACCACGATGACGATTTTGACGATGTCTATGAACATGATGGTACGGCGACGATTGTGATGGTGATGATTATGATGGTGATGATGGTGCTGATGGCGATGATGATGGTGATGCTGATGATGATGATGATGATGATGACGATGACGATGACAGTGACGACGACGACAACGATGAGGATGATGCTGCTGATGATGATGGTTTTTGTGATGATGACGATGACGATTATGGTCACGATGGATGATGATGATGATGATGATGATGATGATGATGATGATGATGATGATGGTGCTGATGATGATGCTGATGCTGATGCTGATGCTGATGATGATGATGATGATGATGATGATGATGATGATGATGATGATGATGATGATGATGATGATGATGTTGCTGCTGCTGATGATGATGATGATGACGATGATGATGATGGTGGTGGTGGTGATGGTGGCGGTGGTGGCGGTGGTGGCGGTGGTGGCGGTGGTGGTGATTGATAAGGCTGATGGTTCAGGCATTGTTCTTGGCGGTGACTTGATTCTGATCCCGCAGACGACGAGTATTATCGGTGTGGACTGGAGGATTACGAAGCTGACGTTGAGGGGGAATCAGTCCTACTCACCACGCTGAGTATGTTGATGAGGATGACGTCGATGATGCTGTTGATGATGGTGATTTTTATGACGACGACGATGACGACTATGATGATGTCTATGCATCTGATGGTATGGCGACGAGTGTGATGATGACTATGATTATCATTATGCTTATGATTCCGATTCTGATGATGATAATGATGATGATGATGATGAGGAGGAGGAGGAGGAGGAGGATAATTATGATGATGATGATCATACTCATGATGCTGATGGCGGTGGTGGCGGTGGTTGTGGCAGTGGTGTTTGTGATAAGGCTGATGATTCAGGCATTGTTCTTGGCGTTGACTTATTATGATGTCGCAGACGCCGATGATTTTCTGTGTGGACTGGAGAATTATGAAGCTGACGTGGAGGGGAAACAGTCCTACTCACCACGCTGAGTATGTTGAGGAGGATGACTTCGATGATGCTGGTGATGATGATGATGATGATGATGATGGTGGTGGTGGTGATGATGATGATGATGATGATGATGATTTGTATGACGACGACGATGACGATTATGATGATGTTTATAAGTATGATGGTATGGCGACGACAGTGATGGTGATGATGACGATGATGATGATGAGGAGGAGGAGGAGGAGGAGGAAGCTGGAACCTCTACGGAAACCGACTCCGCCGGCGTGCAAAGGGTCCCGAAGCGGCAAGCGCTGGCCCGAGGGGCGTGCGGCGGCGCGGCTTCGGATTGGGGACCTGCGGAGTCAGGGTGCAGAAGGGGTTCCAGTGATTCTGCAACTGCGTAGCGATACGGAATAGGAAAGCAAGACGACATGCACCGCCCACTGACCTTGAAGACCCGCGGGAGGACATGAGACACGGAGTGCCCGAACTGGAGGAACATTTTCATGGAGACTGCATGGCACCATTGGAAACCGTAGCGCCCACCTAGCTGCAACGCACACTAGCACCACAAGCGACAGAACGTGATATTCCACAGCGCCGCCATGTGGATAATGAAGTCTAAGAAGCGCTGTCGTCTGATTGATTCAGCGAATAACCTCACGTCTTTCGCAGCCTTTCCGCACGGGAAGATGACCACCATCATGCAAGCCGTATTATGTGAGACCTGTGCAGTTGACAGGATGAATTATGAAGTCCGCTCTGAACGCCTAGGCCCTAGCACGATATCCACATCGCGAAAAACACCTGAGCCAGCAACGAATACAAATCTCACCAAACTTAGTAGTACGACGTGGCACTATGCACGGCACTGCAAACGTGGGAAGCCATTTGATCAGTCACAGTGAGTATAGTTGCCTGCCTCCCTGAACGCCGGGCGCTACCAGCGATTACTTGCACCAAACAGACATCATACCCCCCTGGCGGATATGGAAGATGCCTGCAATGAAACGGATGATGAATATCTTCAGCTTGGACGCCCAAAATGAGTACAACACGTATACCTTCACGCGGCGGTGACATAATGCCGACCACATGCATACAGAAACCTCAGAGCACTGTGAACTCGGATGGGTACAATAATGTAATAAGTGGCCTTCTGTAGATGCGTAAAGCTGGAACTAGCACAAGCAGGACCATATCAGACCACTCCCAATGGAAAGGTGCCAACCTACCAAAGCCATGGACCACGCTCCAAAACTGAACGTGCTCACAGCCCTGCTTGCCATGATGCCCTGAACACTATGTAGATAGACGCGTATTCAAGAAGCAATAGAGAACCCGTAGCTGTAAGACGAATCCTTCTGCCATTGCGTATTTTGTATCACAAGCAATAGATGCGAATTATAAAGATGTGGCTTACCACCCTATCATAACACACCTGCTGAGCACTATGCGTGAATGCGGCCGGTTTTTACCATCGCATACAGCATACCAGATGATCATTTGGTCGGAGCCCCCGAAGTGCCAACGAGAAGGCAATGGGTTGGGCGCCCCATTGCAAGTACGAGCTCAAAAGGTACGATGCCTTGGGTCACCCGTGTTTGGTAGGAGGAGTAGGACGAGGGGGAATAATGGGGAGGAGGGGGAGGAGGAGGAGGGGAAACACGAGGAGCAGGCGGAGGAGGAGGAAGGTCGGGAAGGGGAGTGATGCGGACCAGAGTAGCCCCAGGATGCATAAATTAACGATGCTGCAGTACACCCTCCCGTCCAAAGTACCCTTCATAAGTACCTACTTGTTTTGCACTGCAGGAAGCGCCCCCCAGTGACAGACGAACGCCCCCTCGGGCCTGCCGTTCAGGCGATGCCCGCGTTTCCTGTAGGCTCCAGCCTTCATCTCTCTAGCCACAAGACGCGCCAAGATATAGGGTCAGGGAGTCCACGAAGTTGTCCAGCGAGACCTCCGTTTTGAAAAGCGTGCGACCGATGTCCGTGCAAAGGTTCCACACTTTCAACATTTTGGCAGTACAATGTAAGGAAGTCTTCAGCGAGAGCTCCATTTACAAAAGAAGCCGCCCTCCGTCCATCCAATTGCTGCGCAGTTGGGAAATTCGGGTAATAGAAGATGTGCACGTCTCAATCAGGAACGCCAGTTTTAAATGGAATTGCCTTCTCTTTCTGCATTCTTAAGTCGAGTGTGCTCGGAACCAATGCGCGAGTCCGATTTGGAAACGTATTGCCCTGCATCCCGATATATTTACACGCACACACACACACATACACACATCTATATTATATATATATATATATATATATTCTGAGGTTTTAAGACGGGTGTGCGCAACGCCAAGGCCAGAGCCATGTTGAAAACGCGCTGTGTTCCATCCGTTCACACTTGAACTGTCCAAGCATCGAGACCATGAGTTGAGAGGAGGTATCAAGCGAATCGCCCAGCCAGCCCTGACGACATGTCTGATCGTGTGACAGGGGCGGAGCTTTCATATATAAGGGGCAGCAATCACTCTTGTCTTCCGCATGGTTCACCGAATTGTAATGCGTTACTGTTTTCCCCACGCCGTGTGCGCGAGATCTTCGTTCGAGGGCCAGCGTGCCTCGCATGACTGCCCGCCGTGACGGCTCCGCCTCCCAGGGCGATGGCAGCTGAGATTGAGGCTGATGGACTTATTATACATACGGGAGGGGATGGAGGTCTGAAGGGCAAGCTTCCCTGGCCTCGTGGGGCAACCTTTTGCACGCCCTGGCCCGTGGTTGGGGCCAGCGGAGTAGTGGTGAGCTTGGCTGCCTTGTTCGGCGCCTCGCTCGTCGAACGGGTGTCGTCGTGGAGGAATGCGCCGGCAACAGGAGGGGGGAGGCGCGGGACAAGACGGGGACACTGCGACAGAGCCGCGCGCTCGGACGTAGGTCGCCGCCGCCGCCACCGCCACCGTCGTCGTCGTCGTCGTCGTCGTCGTCGTCGTCGTCGTCGTCGTCGTCGTCGTCGTCGTCGTCGTGGTTGTCGTCGTCGTCGTCGTCGTCGTCGTCGTCGTCGTCGTCGTTGTCGTCGTCGTCGTCGTCGTCGTCGTCGTCGTCGTCGTCGTTCTCGTTGTGAAAGGGGAGAATTCGGCGGCGGGAGGAGGCCGAGGCCGTTGGCCCGCCGCCCGCGGACGCCTTCCCCGCTCGTTCCTGCGCCGCCGCCAGGACGCTTTCGCCGCGGGGCCCAAAAAGGGCGCCAAGAGGGCGCTCGAAGAGGCCGCCGCCGCGCCCGAGGAGGATCTCCGCCCTGCCGCCGCCGCCGCCGCCGCCGCCGCCGCCGCCGCCGCCGCCGCCGCCGTCGTCGTCGTCGTCGTCGTCGTCGTCGTCGTCGTCGTCGTCGTCGTCGTCGTCGTCGTCGTTGTCGTCGTCGTCGTCGTCGTCGTCGTCGTCGTCGCCGCTGCCGCCGCCGCCGCCGCCGCCGCCGCCATTGTCGTCGTCGTCGTCGTCGCCGCTGTCGCGGTTGTCGTCGTCGGGGGTGGGAGGAGGGGAAACGGGAGGAGGAGGAAGAGGAGGAGGAGGAAGGGGAGGAGGAGGGGGAAAAGGACGAGGAGGAGGAGGAGGAGGAGGAGGAGGAGGAGGAGGAGGAGGCGGAGGTGGAACAGGAGGAGGCGGTGGCGGCAGCGGCTGCGGCTGCGGCTTGTGCGAAGGAGAAGGGGCATGGAGAAGAGGGCGGGGAGCGGGCCAGGGACGGCAACACCATGCAGGAGGCGACTTCCAGAGGGAGGGGGTCGCGGGGCCGGGGACAACCGTGGGGGGGTGGAGGCAAGCCAGATGCGCTCGCGCCGTGTCTGGCAGCCGATGTCTCGCGTCAATCCTTCACCGTTGCGATAAATGCTTTTCTGTGTGCAGCCTGGGTGTTGTACATATGACCTTGATCCTCGATGCGACCCCCTCGTGTGATGCGCAATCAGACATGGGGAACTAGGGAGGAGGGACATGATGAGGAGGAGGAGGAGGAGGAGAAGGAGGGTGTGGCGGACGAGGAGGAGGAGTAGGATGAGCAGGACGAAGAGCACGTTGATGAGCAAGGAGGGCGACCAGCATACGGATGGGGTGGGGGGAGGAGACGCCCCGGACAACACAATCACATTACCAGAGAGGAGGAGAGAGCCGAGCTCATGTTGTGTGGTTGTATTTGTATGAGGAGGAGGGGGAGGAGGAAGTGGAGGAGGAGGAGGAAGAGCTGGAGGAGGAGGAGGAGGAGGAGGAGGAGGAGGAGGATGAGAACGAACATGGAGATGGACTGGGGAGGAGTGGAGAAGGTAGAGGTGGCGGTAGAGAGGGAGGAAGAGGAAGAGGAGGAGGAGGAGGAGGAGGAGGAGGAGGAGGAGGAGGAGGAGGGAGGAGAGGGGGAGGGGAAGGGAGGAGGAGGATGGTGGTGCTGGTGGTAATGACGAGGCTCGGTCGTGCATCTTCCTGCTTCTCAGCTGGTGCCATGCTCGCAGCGACGTCCTGCTTCCTGGTTTACTGTTTTTTCTTGGTTTGGGCGGCTCAGGTTCCCCCCAAACCCTTCTGGCTGAGCTGGGTTGTGTTGAGGTGATGCGAGGAGGATGACGACTATAGCGACGACGAGGAATACGACGAGGACGAGCAGGAAGAGAAGTTTGAGCAGAGGATGAATAGCAGTTTGAGGTTGAGGCGAAAGAGGAGGAGAAAAAGCAATTTTGAGGATGACGCGGATGTGGAGGAGGAATCAGTTGGGGGAGGAGGAGGTGGAGGAGGAAGAGGAGGGGATGGACCAGAGCCAGGAAGAGCCATTGGAGAAGGAGAAGCATGAGGAGCGGGAGGACCAGAGTAAGCCCAGCATGCATCAACGATGCTGCAATACCCCTTTCTGCCCCAAGTTCCCTCCTCATCAGTCCCTACAAGCCTTCCTCTTCACCATTGGCCTGCCATTCAGGCGAGAGCCCAGTGCTGTGGAAGGAACTGCCTTACATTCTTCTTGAGAGTAACAGCGAGTTCGAACAGGTATGGTCATACAACTCAGGAGGTGTCCAGCGAGATCCCCGTTATGAGAAGGGACTGCAGACCTTCAGTGCCACTGTTACACAGACTTGCATTTCTGTTCATGATTTTCGAGGAGGCCTCGAGTGGTTGTCCTGTTGTGAAGAGAAGCACTGTCCATCCGCGCAGCTGTAGCCTGTGTTCAAGGTTCTGGTCTGTATGAAAGGCGTCCCACGCGAAACCGTAATTTTGGAAAGGAACCGTTCTCCATCCCTGACATTGTAACAAACAGTTGAGGCGATTAAGGCGCATGTGCGCTGCGCTAAGGCGAGGTCCCCATCGTGTAAAGGGGTCGCCCTCTATCTTTGAAGCTATTGCAGACTTTTAGAGAAAGGTGCGCGGTGCTAAAGCGACAACCGCATTTTGAAGACGACCCCGCCTCCATCGTTGCAGCTGTTGCAAAGTTGTAAGACGGAATGGGCGCGGCGCTCAGGCGAACACCATGGGAGGCGAACACCACATGTCGAACACGGCCTACGCTTTATCCTGGAACATCCGGCAACCTTTTAAGACGAGTGTGTGCGGCGTCACTGCGAGAGCCCCAGTTTAACGACGACGTGTGCTCCATCCTTGACGGCTCTACAGCAGGTACCCTTGCGTTCCGCGTACTGGGCCTCGTCCGTCAGCGCCCGTGGATGCTCCGGCGCCGCGGCCCGGCCGCTGCCATGGTCCCCGCTGCCGAGGCTGGCCGCGCCAGCGCACTCAGGATGGAAGTCTTCCGCCTCTACAGTTACTCAATATGAATACTACTCTCCTCCTTCCCCTGATGACGGGTTGGGAGTGTTCGCCCCCCCCCCCCCGTACTGTTTTTTACACACAGGATTCCCCGGAGTTGGGTTTTCGCCTGCATTTTTTTTTTTTTTTTTTTTTTTTTGCAAAATGCTGCTCTCGCTGATGCGCCAGCCTCATTTTCGGGCCCCGCTCGTTCTGAATCGTGCTCCCGCTGCAGCGCTGGTCTCATTTCCGTGCTTCCGCTCGTTCCGAATCGGGCTCCCGCTGCAGCGCTGGCCTCATTTCCGCGCTTCCGCTCGTTCCGCTGCAGCGCGGGCGTCATTTCCCGTGCCATGCCACGGCATGCAATGCAATGCTAGGTTGCGTTCCGCTGCGCGATGCCATGCCTTCAGCTGAAGCTGTGATATGCAGTGTTTAAGTGCCACGTCGTGCTATGCCATGCTACGCTTTGATCAACGCCATGCTATGCAATGTTATGTTCGGGGCCGCTGTGCGAAGCCATGCTTTGCGTTGCAAAGCTTTGTGATGCAATTCTTCACTACGCCATGCCACGCCATGCTGTGACATACTACGCTTTGTGGTGCTCTTCTACGCCATGCCATGCCGTGGTCTACACTGCATCGCGTACCCTTTCGGGATCATTGCCCTGCTCGACATCCGACTGTGCGAGTAGAGAGGGGATCTACGCCATGGTAAGGGATGGGAGGGAGGTGTAGGATGTCAGATATGACGCGAGCGCACCTAGCTTGGAGTGTCCCCCCTCCCTCCTCCCCCGCGGCCGCCCTGTCTGTCTCAGTTTCTCCTGCACGCTGGGCAATTCGCTCTTCGGTAGCCCCGTTTAGCCCGACCGCTGGTGCAGCAATTCTGCCCCGCCGCCGACGAAAAAGAGGGCTTCATCTTTGAAGCTGTTGCAACTTTCGGGCTTACGGGCCAAACGTGGTGGGGATGTCTGCGGCGACACTCCTGGCCCGCCCTACTGACACGTCTTGGGTTACGACAGGGAGGAGTTGCGCGCAAATTAAAACAATTGAAGTGCGGTTGGAGGAGGAGGAGGAGGTGGAGGAGGAGGAGGACGAGAAGGAGGGGGAGGGAGAGAAGGAGGAGGATGAGGAGGAGGACGAGGAGGAGGACAAGGAGGAGGATGATAAGGAGGAGGAGGAGGAGGAGGAAGAGGGGGAGGAGGAGGAGGAGGAGGAGGAGGAGGAGGAGGGGGAGGAGGAGGAGAAGGAGGAGGAGGATGAGGAGGAAGAGCCAAAGGAGGAGGAGGAGGAGGAGGAGGAGAAGGCGGAGAAGGAGTGCGAAGAAGATGAGGAGGAGGGGGAGGAGGAGAAGGAGGGGGATGATGATGGTGATAATGATGATGATGATGATGATGATGATGATGATGATGATGATGATGATGATGATGATGCTGATGCTGATGCTGATGCTGATGCTGATGCTGATGCTGATGCTGCTGTTGTTAATGATGATGATGATGCTGATGCTGATGCTGATGATGATGGTGGTGATGGTGATGGTGATGATGATGATGATGATGGAGATGACGATGGTGCTCATGCTCATGAGGATGCCGCTGCTGCTGATGATGATGCTGATGCTGATGATGATGCTGATGATGATGCTGCTGATGATTCTGCTCAAGCTGATGATGATGCTGATGAGGATGATGATGATGATGATGATGCTGATGAAAGTGATGATGACGATGGTGATGATGGTGATGACGTGGATTGTGAGGATGATGATGATGCCGCTGATGATGCTCATGACGATGATGATGCTGATGATGCTGCTGCTGATGATGATGGTGGTGATGAGGATGCTGATGCTGCTGCTGATGATGCAGATAATGCTCATGATGATGCTGATGCTGATGCGGATGATGATGATGATGATGCTGCTGATGATGATGATGATGATGCTGATGATGATGATGATGATGCTGAGGATGATGATGCTGATGAGGTTGATGTTGATGTCGATGCTGGTGATGATGCTGATGATGCTGATGACGCTGATGATGCTCATGCTGCTGATGATGCTGATGATGCTGATGCTGATGCTGATGATGCTGATGCTGCTGATGATGATGATTATGATGCGGTTGATGAGGATTCTGATGATGATGATGATGATGACGATGCTGTCGCTGCATCTGATGATGATGCCGCTGATGATGATGATGATGCTGATGCTGATGATGATGATGATGACGACGATAATGATGATAATGATGATGATGATGATGATGATGATGATGATGATGATGATGATGATGATGGTGATGGTGATGATGATGATGATGATGATGATGATGCTGTTGCTGCTGATGATGATGCTGATGATGATGATGACGATGATGCTGCTGCTGATGATGAGGGTCATTATGACCATGATGCTGCTGATGATGATCATGTTGCTGCTGATGATGATGATGGTGATGATGATGATGATGATGATGATGATGATGATGATGATGATGATGATGATGATGATGA